AAAAGCACCGATATTATTATTATTATTTTTATTTTGAAAAATAACAAATAATTTAATTTATAACATAAATTTATTTTGTTGGTGGCTAAATGACAGGGGGTGCCCGAGCACCCATAGCCCCCCCCCTGAATCCGCGCCTGCTATCATTTATGGACATGTTTTTTGTTTCTAGTTTTATAATTATATGTTCTAAAAAACTAAATTTCACTGAGATGAAAATTAAATTACTTTTTAGCAAAATATCTATTATTTTGAGCTTTCCCAATACCCATAGAGGTAAAAAATATAAATTACTAAMATATGGGTTTTTCCGTTGCCTRTGTCATGGTTTATAAATATTTACAAACTAGTGAAACATTTAAAAATATGTAAAATACAATTGGGGTCATTTCAATAAGAATGATATAAACCATGAATATTTCTTATAAAACTCTAAAATTTTTAATATCTCATTAAAATAAAAACATGCATTCACATACAAATCTGTTCCCCAGCAGGTAATGAATTAGACTTTGTTTTGAACTCTTACCATTTTAAATGTGCAGCAATTCAGAACACAGCAACAGTGCAACTCGTGCAGCTCACTGCAAGGTGCATACTATAAAATATTTTTTTATTTTTAAATTTAAATAGTAAAATATWTATGTATTATATCATATCTGTGGATAAAACTTTTAAACATTTAAATAGTTTTATGGGCAGATTCTCTTTGATCAAAAAATGTATTTCCAACATTCTAAAAACGTACATTTTTTAGAATGAGATATATATAAATTTTTAAGTTGCATGTCAAAAAATTGAAATTCCATTTTTAAAGTCATTAAAAGAAAAAGTGAATTTATCTAATAGTGTAAGTGTTTGAAAATATTAACGTTATATTTATAAAATTATGATTTTTTTTGTAGAGTATATAATTGTTTTTGAAATAAGACAATTAATTTATTTAACACATGCATTCCTGTTCTTGTGTTTTGATAATAATGAATTTAATGTTGAAATGTTTTAAAAAAAAATTACTAAAAGATATTTTATATTCACTTTTCTGCAATTTATTAGTATCAAAAAAAAAAATAAAAAAAAAAAAAAATACAATAAAAAAATGTTATTATCAATGTATGAATTTAACAATTGCTAGTGTTTATCGAATATTGTTCCGTTATTGTTACTACAGTAATTATTTAAAAAAATATTAAAAATACAATATTTCAAATTACATATCAACCAGTATCTTTTCCTTTGGTTATACTTCTGCTCTGAGGTTTTTTGTAGATTAGACACTTACACTACTGTTTATGCAGACTGTTCAAAAATACATATTCTAATTTTTCAAGTTTACAGAACCTTGAGAGATAATAATGCAGATATATACAAATTTTGAGTAGGATGTCAAAAAAAAAAAAAAAGTCCCATTTAAAAAAGACATTTAAAGGAAAAGTGTAATTATCYAAAAGCGTAAGTATTTGTAAATATTAACATTATATTATAAATATTATGATTTAATCTCCATTATTTTTTTGTACATATATGTATAATTGTTTTTGAAGTAAGACAATTAAATTATATATTATGCATTTAATATTATAAATATTAATTTATAATTATATAAAATAATATATAAAACTTTATGTTTAAATAATTTAAAGAAATTACTTTTCTATAATTTATTAGTATAAAAAAAAAAAAATCTATGATAAAAAAATCTTATAATCAATGTATGAATTAAACAATTGATAGTGTTTATCAAATATTATTCTAACATTTTTACTATAATAAGTTAATAATTATTTTCAAAAACGTATTAAACATACAATATCTCACATTACTACATTAACCAGCATCCTGGAGTTATATTACAGCTCTGAGATCTTCTGTAGATTAGACACTCACTATATTGCTGATTTCAGACTGTTTTAAAAAACTTATTCTAATTTTTCAAGTTTATAGAACTTTGAGAGATAAAAATTTCACCATTATTGTCTTCTAAACGTAAACCGTGCTCATTGCATAAATGTAATAAAGCAACATATATAATAGATACAGTTATATTTTCTTTCATATTTTCTGGTAGTAACTTTGGCAGTGTTAGTAATACATCTCCAAATGAAATATTTACTGATTTCTCACTATCTGGTTTGATAGTATCCATAATATATTTTTTAAGTTGATGTGTATCTATGTATCCAGAATTACAAGTGAGGTACTGCTTAAAAACAAGTTTTAATAAAGAAATTGAATTAATGGTCTTTGTTCAGTAAAATATTTTTTTTTWAATTTACTTCATAGGCATCATCTAGTGTAATTTTTTGGTTCAAAGCTATGGTTAAATTGTTGTCAATATTTTTTTCAGTCATAATTTCATCATTCTCATTTCCACACTCAGAATTATCATTAGTGTCCATGATATGTTCGTTAATATATTCTGTATTCTTCACTGGAACTTTATTTAGCTAAATATAATTGAATATTGATTAAAATGATTTAAAATTGATGTATAAATTATATTTTATTTCATACTAATAAAGTGTCTTTCAGAATATCTTGTTCAGGTAACAAGAACAATGCATTTGGATTTGAATTCAAATTTAATTCCTYAAATTCATGYTTAAACCAGTTAGGAATCATGTTAATAAACTTGCAAACTTCCAATCTGTAGTGAACAAAAATATGTAAAAATTCAGATATTTASSTACTATGACAATTTGAAATAATTACTAACTGTCTGATAAGTACAGTATCTGATTGACCAGATGAAGGAATTAAGTTATTACTTGGTTTCCATTTATCATAACGACATAGACATTTACCCGAAACTAATATTATATCATCTAATTTCTTATATATATCTGAATTAAACTCAACCTTAAATTTAATAGCTTTRGAATTGCTAMATTTATATTCAGAAACATTAGTTTCGGAATCTGTTTGAGTTAAACGAGACTTAATAAGCATTGCTTTCTCTTTACCTAAATACAATAAATACACATAATTAAAGAGTAATGAATAATACACTTGCAAAATAATATTACTGTCAGTTTTCATCATTTTGAACTTCACTTTCCAATGATCGGGACATTTAAGGTTACAYAATTTTTTACGATCAAAATATGTATAATCACTGCTATTTGTTGTATCCACCATTGATAATAATTGAGATAAAGACTCTGAATAAAAACAAAAATGTCTAAATAAACAAAAACAACCACCTATTAATTTTTAAACAAATATAACAGAACAACCCACCTAAATTTTCTTGTCTACCAAATTGGTTGTTATTCTGATTAGATGATCCTGGTTCTGTAGGTACTATTATTTGTGAACTTGGTTCGTTTGAATCTACATCCATTGAATCATCAGTTTCTTCAGAAATGTTCGAACAAAATTCAGGATATGTTTCTTGATTAAAATGGGTTTGGATATTATTTAATACATTCATATCAATGTTATCATCACAATTTGTACTTTTATCACGTTCAGCTGTAAACTTATGAAATGACGGGCAAATTTTTCCATTTTCGATTACAGCTATATTCCAAACAAAAATATAAACAATATAAAAACTTGATATACATATTAAAAATGTTACCTAGTAAATATTTCTTTTTAGATTTTGAGCAGAGCTATTAATTTAATGATTTTAAACTGGTGAATTTTTTTTTAGTCTGAAAATACTTTTTTTAGTAGGTACAATACATCAATATTCAACTTTAAGAATAGTTACTGGTAGAAAATAGTATCTATTTTGAACTTWCAGTACTTGATTGGGGCTGAGGATTCAAAAGTGAAAAAATCCAAGTACTTTTAAAAGTAATTGAATTGTTCATTAAATATTTATAATAGAATTTTCTAAACATTAAATTAGGTATAGGTATACATGAAAACATTTTTGCTCTTTTTATGCTTTTTGGAATTTTTAAACATTTTCGTATTTTTTTTTCAATTTATACATGATATACTACATGTTTTTTTGTAGGTAAAAATTTTGAAAAATTAATATAAGGCTCCTTTTAAGTTATTCTTACAGCAATTAAAAATACTCATATATATATTAATGTGTTGTGTATTATATAATATATACCCCTGCTCAATCATACACTTGATATTTTCTATAAAGCAGAGCTGACTCCCTATTTTAAATTCTTATGAATGAATATTATATATACATATATAATATATATATATATATAATATTAAAAACTAAATTAAAATTAAATGAGGTTAGATAAAGGGATTTGGGCGCCTTATCATCAAAGAAGAATGAAACATTATTACTTATAGACAACTTTGGTTCATGCAATAACTATTTTAAGCTTTATTCACCTCAGTTATACAAATTATTCAAAACTAAAGTAATATTAATTGATGATTAGTAACATTTATGAAGTTAATTGCTTATTATTTTATGATTTAAAATATTAATTAAAACATTTATTTGAAGCAAATAATATTTTTTTTACATGCATAATATAATATTAAATCATTTTAATGAAAACATTTATTTAGATAATAGTGAAAAATTATATATTAATAGCAACATAATATTATTTTAGGCATTTCCAACACCAATGATTTTATTAAATTATATTGCATAAATTATGTTATGTTATTTCTTTTTTATATGTAATTTAAAACAAGGTATACTACCTTATATTTTAAATTAGGCAATTAAGTCCATGGTTAAGATGAAGGCAACACCTCTTATAAAAGTAAAATTGTTCTACTCTACCTCAAACATTAAATTTTTTATAAAACACATTGACTGCAACTTTTAATATTAAGTCTAATTTTCTGACATATTTGACTGATTGTGAYTGTACGCAATCCATCCCCACTTGAAGTTAAATAGCATAATATTTTTAAATTTGTGACTACATCAATAATAAGTAAAAATGATATATTAGACATACTCATTAAATTTTCCATTTCATATGTTTCTTGTTGATTTTCATTCACATTAATGTTTTTGAAATCACCATATTCTGGCCAATAAGTGTCATTAGAATACCTATTCATCAATATTCTTGAAGGTTTTGCATAGTCAATCATATCATTATCAAGATCAACACTTAGGTAATTTTTTCGTAGTAGCATTTGATTGTCTTTACGGGTTAATTTTTCAGCTGTTGTTAACATAAGTTTTTTCTAAAATAAAAAAAAACTATATTAATAATACTACCTGTTATTTAAATGATTAGTATTTAAATTATACTCTATGTTTTTGTTTGGTTTTCGTCTCATTCTCTTTAACAAKATTTTGGTTTTTGGTTTCTGACACAAATTCTTTAACTAACTTATTACCAGTTATCAAAATATCATCAACTCTACATGAGTACACCTTACTAATTGCATCAAATGTATTACTAATTCCCTTTATTTATATATAAAAAAAAAAAAAATCATAATCATATTATTATTTAATTAGACAAATAATATAATTGTGTTTATACAGCATAAAATTTACCAAAATATCTGTTTCTTTAGATCTCTTTACCATTTGTTGTACACAACTGATTAAATCTATATCAAATGCATTAAGTACATTGATTTTCTAAACAAAAAGGGCTAGTGTCAATTTTTATAACAAAATATTAAATGTAATAAAATCTTACATTTTCCAAGTATAATGAATTATATTTATTAACTTTAGTATTCAAGTCTCCAATTGTTAGATTACTAAGGTATTGTTCATTATTGTCATCCTCAAAACAAACTTCTTGGTTCAATATAGCTTTAAATGAAGTTATACCATGATTTAAGTCTTTTGGAAAATTATTTTCATGGTTGGATGATTTTTTTTTTAATGCATTGTCCATCTAAAAATTATCCATAAATATATCATACACATCACATATACTGATTAGCATTTATTTTATCTACATATAAAATAACATATTTGTTGCAGCAGTATGATTTATATTTTAAATTATTTTTATTTGACTATAAAAATTTACTTTTTAATGCTCAATTATTTTTTAGATAACATATAATTAATTTTWAATAGTTTTAGCTTATATCAAATTACCTAATTAATCAAATAATAGGTAATAATATTATATCCTATAATTTATTTTCTCGTGTTTTAAATGTTTATGTTGATTGGTTATTTCTATTTTCATCAACTCGCTGTTCAAATTAACAAAGCATAATCTATTACATAGTTCAATAAGATRTAAATCAAATGGATTGTGTAGAAAGTAGTTTTCTCTCGAGTATTTTTAAATAGATATAATAAATTCATGAAAAAATAATAATTCTTAGTCTTATGCATATAATATGCACAGGACATTTTAATTAAGACCTAATTATTAAATAAAGATCTCAACAACTGTCAGTTTTCAATATGTTTTTCATTTATRGTATTCTGAACATGAGTAATTGTATTACCTAAAGTATTGAGTTCTTGAAACATCATTAAAATTTGTTTTCCAAATCTAATAATACATTAGTGTTAATGAAAATTTCCAGTGATTTAAAACAACAAGAACTTAATTTTTATCAAAAATAAACCGGCTACCAGGGAGTCATCAGTAGCAGAACTAGAGGGAAGGGAGCCGAGGATTGATCCCCGTTCATACAATTTTACTGGATGTAACTTTTTTGGGGATCTTTATTTAATGTTTGGTGTTAAAAGTTAAGAAAATATTTTTACCTTACATAATTTGTTTATGATGTGGTGACGTTTGAAGGAATAAAACATAATAAATAAAATCATACATGGCGTAAAATTATTAATTGTAATCATAGCTGTGCGATCAGCGTATGTCTACAGGTATATACGGATTATAGACTATAAAGAATTTTTTTATATAGTATAATCTTAATACACCACAGTCCACAGAATAAATAAATTATAATATATAATTATAATTTATTTATTTATTATAATGATTATTGTTTTCATCTGGAAGTAAGGTTTTGTTACACTTACTAAAATTGGAGAAAAAATTAAATTATGTTTAACTATTTTTTAAATTAAGATATATGTAAATATTAAATGTATAAATATATGATATATACTTGTTTAATGTTTATTATTGTAGACTGAAGTCAGACAAAAATAAACAGTTTCCCTTTAAATACCTTATTTGTACAAAAATAATATGTAACAACTTTAATTTTTTAATGTTGTAATAAGATTTTAATTGCATAAAATAAATGAAGATAGTACACCTAATTGCTCCCGTGTTTTTAATTAGTAAAATTATATTATGTTCTGAATATTACAGAAAGGCAGCAACTTTAAGTAACTGACTTATTTATTCATATTTCTAATTATTAAAAAAAAAATTGTCAGAAATATCAAAATATTTTCAGCCTTTGTCTATGATTGGGCTAATTTAAATATTTTCTCCAGGCATAAAATTTCATAGGTTCGCCTCTGGGAGTCATTAACTGAAAATTTAATTATTTTTCAAAAAATGGTATTTCACCAATAACTTGTTAAGTTATTCTTTTAATTTTCTATTTAGATATAGTTTTTGATCAATTCTCACTGTAAGAATTCTGAAAAAATTGCCTTTAAAATAACTTTCAAAATGCATACACTGTCCCTAATTTTTAAAGTTCACCAT